GACGATATTACGATGAGCTCAGTGTGCATAAACATACATGCATGCAGTGGCGTACGCAGGATTTTTTCAAGGGGGGGGGGGGGGGGTTTAATGAGCCAACAATTTCGCAACGATTCAGCCAACCGCTGAATAAGCGAGGGGGGGGGAGAGGACATTTTTTTTTTTTGGGGGGGGGGGGGGGGGGGGGGGGGGGGGGGGGGTCCCGAAATTTGTAAATTTGACCGATCGACATTCCGTTTCGTTGGGGGGGGGGGGGGGGGGGAGGTAATAAGGTCATCTTTTTTAGGTCGTCCATTAGGATTTTTTTTTTTTTTTTACAAAAACAAAAAAACAAAAAATAATCTAAACTCATGAGGGGGGTTCTCAAAAAACATACACATACAAACAAATGAAGGGGGTTTACCCCCCCCCCCCCCCCCCCTGCGTACGCGCCTGCATGCATGCACATTCTAGCTATATCTTTTTCTATTTGTCTCTGTCTGTCTGTCTATCTGTCTCTGTCTGTGTCTCTCTCTCTCTCTCTCTCTCAGCTAGGTTAGGTCTGTTGATCATGAATAGTACTACTATTTGTCACAAAAACAGAAGGGGAATCCCTAAGCCTTCTTGCGAAACCGCTCATATTCTTTTGTGTATCTTATCACGCGACCTTGACGTAGTACATTTAGTTGTGTTTATTTTTAGAGTTTTAGAAATAGTTCAAAGTAAAAAGATTCCTGGCAATACAAAGATATGTATTGTTGTCGGGTGCCTAAATCGAAAGCTCGCTATAAGCGAGCTGTCGATTTAGGCACCCGACGTCGGCTACTACGAGGTACTGGAGCGTGGAGACGTTGCGCAGCTCACGTCCGTTCCCTTCGCGGCAGTGCTTTCGGTTTTTTCACGACTGTGCTTTCGTCGGTCACGTGACCAATTTTTGAGATCAGGTGATAGAAGAAATAAAGAATAACAAAAGAAAAGACTGAAAGAGAGGGTGATAGAAGTAAGAAACAAAGAATAACATAAGGAAAGATAGAAAGAGGAAGTGATATAATGATAAAAACAAAGAATAACATAAGAGAAGGTGATAAAAGGAAGAAACAAATAATAACATAAGGAAAGACAGAAAGAGCAAGTTATAGAATGATAAAACAAAGAATAACATAAGAAAAGGTGATAGAAAAAGAAACAAAAGATAGCAAGAGGAAATAATTAGAAATCTTTTAGATTGCACTCGACGATATATAAGCATGCAGGAAGTAACACTATGAACATGACGGCCAAAGAAAGAGGACAAAATATACAGTTCCTCATTCTACCCTCAACAATTATTGCTGTGGTAGAAAAAAGAACATCCCTACACTGCTATTATGTAAAAATGTGTAGAACAGGTGAATATGCATGTGGCACCTGTTCTACACATTTTTACATAATAGCAGGAAAGGGATGCTCCTTTGTCTACCTGAGGAACTGTATATTTTATGCGCACGCGGCATATACTAGTACCGTACGGGATACCTTGATTGTATGTCTCGTGAGTTGTTGGTGAGGACGTGAGGTGTCGGTTTGGTCCACGGTGTGACTGACTTATTGTTTTGTTTTTTTTTATTTTTTTTATTTTTTATTGGGTACTCAAAAATAACATAAAAGCCAACTGGCTATTTACAATCATGTACAGGAATGTGAAATGACAAAAACATCATATAGTCCACTACAACTCAAATATAAACTTTTTAAAATGGAGGCTTAACTTGCCATATTTGGCTGCAATTACATATTCAGATTTAAACTTAATTTTTATCAAAGATATAAGACCATGGAAATTTGGTTTCTCTTTCTTAAATTTGCAGCAGTGAATGTAGAACCTGGTACACAAAAGAAAGAAATGTATACATATTGAATTTTGATAGTCCTTGGGACAACCAAACATTCTTTCAAAATCCGAGAAAATAACTTCTTTTTTAAGTTTTAAAGATAGATAATTTTCTAGGGCAGTCCAAAGTGGCCTTACAACTTCACAATATATTAAAAAATGTTCAATTGAGTGACTGACTTATTATTGTTTTAATCTTGGACCATACATGTGAATTACGAAAGAAGAATAACAAACAAAGTGCGCTATTTGGGGTTTTCAACCACCTATCACTTAGATATGACATTCTACCTCTGGGGCTAATCCTTTGAAGTCACATTCAATATACGAGACTCGGGACACAGGGCCCTGGACCCAGGAACCAACCTTGGGCATAGAGTAAAGAAAGACCAGATGGCTGACTACTAATTAGTTTCGTTGTTAGCATTCAGACACTAGTGGCGCTTAATGCCGATACATATTCACCAAACTTAAAACCTTGACCAACTCTCTATTGCCTCTTAATTTAATATTTATCACTATCCATTATAGGGTTTCTTCGATTGCATAACTTCTTGGAGCTGATCCGTCCCCTGGGAATCGAAGTGTCACATCGACGGATCAACGTCGATACGATTAACGAGACTCTGGTCGAGCTAAAGGACACCGGGAAACATAGGATCATCTGTGATACAGGACTATCATTGACGAATACCGTTCTTCGAACTGTAATCATTTCTCTTAGCTTTTGCTATTAAATTATATTCATTGAATTTTGATACGTGGGCACCGGTACTCAGTCATTTTCTCTGGCGACAATTGCTGTGGGCTTTATTTCGTCAGAAGTTTAGGGTTGGGGTTAGGGTGAAACTGTGTTTTATGCTTGTTTGTGGGTTAGGATTAAGGTTAGGTATAGTGTCGGGCCTAGAGTTGAAGTTAGGAATGCGGCTATTGTAAGAAATTGTCGTACAACCGGATCCAGCTCCTTTTCCTTATGAGTACATCATCATACTACCCCTGAATAAATACACTCTTAGGGGAAAATGTTATACAATATTATATATTTATTCTAAACTTAATCAATTTAATTGACTGCAAGTATATTCAACACAACTTTTTTTTTCATTAGATTGTCTATAATTATATTCTAAACTTAAGTTATACACCTTTTGATATAATAAAGTCGGTGGTGTTTGCATAAATCCTGAGAAAATAGTTTTATGATAAATGCGCTATGCCCAGTGAAAGAATCAATCCTTATCCGGTGTGTCTATTTAAGTGAGTGAATGTACGAGCTATTCTTAAAATCCTGCTCTCTAAAAATCATATATACTGTATCTTTACAATGAACGTACGAATATGTTATAACAAGGTCATCATGATGATTTTTTTGTTGTGATGATATAATGATTCGCTTTTTTCATGCCCTTTTCTTCCTCTTATTTTACAGTCCCTGGATTTGGAAATGGTTACTGCTTCCTATCACATGGTATATCTAAATTTGGTAAGTCTTCTCATTGTTTCCCATGGTCATTAGGAGTGAGAACGAGAAAGAGAGAGGGAGAGAGAGAAAGAAAGAGAGATAGACAGATAGAGAGAGACAAAAAAGAAAGAGGGAGAGAAAAATAGAGATAAAGAGAGAGAGAGAGAAAAACAAGGAAAGATATATATAGAAAAAGAGAGAGAGGAGGAAAACGGAGAAAAGTACAGGAATGGAACACTTTGGTATATGGGTGATTGAGATTCTTTAGTCTCATACGAGAATTCCCGTGTTCGCTTACTGCTCCTAATTACGTCATGTAACAAAATGACACACCCATACCTGCCTCCCTGTAGACCAGCTTATAGTCGTTTTAATCTGTCGCCCTTTCCCAAATGCGCGCGCGTGTATGATATGCGTACTCCCCACGAATTCACCTTCCCCGAAAAAAAAGGCTGTGTGTCCGTACGTGTATATTATGGTGTACTAGTATATGATATGTGAGCGAGCACGGATCATGTAGAGAACAATCCAGGCAGTGGACTAGCCTCCCTGGTGACTGGTACCGTGGGTACACATAATTCGTATGCCCCCCCCCCTCCAAAGAAAAACAGTGTGATAGCGATGAGGTTGGCAGGTTATTAAGACCTTATTTCAACCATTATCGTAAACCCTACATGCTCGAACAGTCATATCCGAAAGTTTCATGATCATACATGTACAACTAAAATAAATTGTTTTCAATTTGTGGGTATACTGAGAAAACTCAGGAGAAAAATTACAGTATGGAAGTTGGCTCCGATTTAAAGATTGTTTACAACAATAAAAAATAATGAATATTCATTCATAGAACCTGGATTTCTGTGAATACATTAACTTTTACTGTGCTAGTGGTCAGCAAGTCTTATGATTGACGCCGCAAACTGTCCACAAAATGCGACAGCAGTTTTCCGTCAAATACGTTGCAGTCTCATAACTAAAAGGAAGGTCGATAGGCCGACGGCCAGCGTTTGCAAAACCGACTTGTTTCTATCTTTTCTTCGTCGGTATGGGATGGTTGACTGGCGATCTCATTTGCTGTCGCTCTTTGGAATTTCGTGTGAATTTTTACCATTATATATTTCCCAACGAATATATACGTTTCAATGAATGAATAAATGCATACATTAATAAAAATGAAAAGAAATAAATAGATAAACAGCTAGATAAATAAATATTTCTTTGTTTTGTCGGACTCGGGGGGAGTCCATCTCGTAAGCCGTTGGTATGGTGAACTTTTGGAAATCTTGGTCTCGTGGGCTTTTTTATTATTTTATTTTATTGAAATATATTTATTCAGGATAACAAGAATCAGATATACATTGTAGATACAAAATCTGTTTTACCTCATGGTCCTGAACAGGATAAAAATGTAGTACACGGAAATATCAATAATGAATATTCCCAAAGCTCACAAGCAAAGGTAAGAACAGTATAAAACTAAAATATAAGCATAATACGCATTAAAAGTAGTAAAAAGCACAAAACAAAAACGATAATAATTGAAATTAACAGCGGAAAAAACATCAAATCACTTTAATAAAAGGCATTAAAATATCCAAAAAAAAACCGAAGAGGAGAAAAGATATAAGGAAACTGGTAAAAAGTAAAGGAGGAGAGAGGGAAAGAAAGAAAGAGGGAGAGGGAAATGGAGAGAGAGAGAGAGAGAGAGAGAGAGAGAGAGAGAGAAAGAGAAAGAGAAAGAGAGAGAGAGAGAAATAAGCCATGTCAAAGCAGTAAATGAATCGGCATTGTATCACACAGCTTTAACAAATTTGTCCTTGTATATTAAAAACATCGATAATCCACTGGCACGCCCCCCCCCCCCCCTCCGTTAATGCCGATTTCCTGAGAAATAATAAACCGTGCGCTTGTTCTCTGTACCTCTGCGTTAAAGAGGCTGCGTCTGTGCCTGCCATCTGCATTTATACGACCACGATGACGGACGAAAGATTCGGGCGTACCATATTCTTCGTTGACCTCATACTATGTGGTATCTCCACGTGCCTTGGATTTTGTTACCATATATCGTCCGTTGCCGTATCCGTTCTGATTATGAAGTAGTTTGTTGTTATCATTGCGATAGATAAAAGGATTTCAAAGCTCCCGAGAACCTCATAAGCGATGTCAAAGCTGAACGCATTTGCGACGTAACCTGGTGACAAATAAGAAGATTTTTTTGTTAACCCTTTGCGTACTGGGACCGGATAGTCCCCGTATTAAGCATATGGGAATGACAAAATTCCGTAGTCAAAGGGTTAATAGAATAAAACCTGTTATAGCAATAATAATAATGGTTTCTTACAATAGCACACAGTCTGTCACGTCGTGACACTCCTGGCGCTGCCCTGATTATTACACTGGCTTTAGAAAGGCGGCCATTACGGCGCTCTAATAGCATTTCAAGGTATTGATTCCTGTCCGGAGCCCATTTACACCACCTGGGTTGAGTGTGGCAAATGCAGATCAATGTCTTGCAAAAGGACATTGGTGCCGCGGCCGGACTCGAACTGCAGACCTTGTGATCGACAGTCCGGTGACGTATCCACTCGACCACGACACTTCTACGTACCCCTGATCGAGCCATTTCATGTGCTAATGAAGCCATGGAAGCAATTTTTTCATCGCTCAGGTGTCTTCGGAAGATATCACTCTTGCATGAGGAGTCACAGGTCACGTCGGTCAATAGAATGACGATATTAAAGTGTGCTACGGGCGTTACCTACCAACCCCCTGAACGATTTGTTAAACCTATTACTCAAAATAATTACAATTATTATGGATAACAAAACGCATTTTTTATTTGTGATAACGCTGTGGTGCCTTAAAGAGAAGGTTGAGTTCTGGGAAGAGGTGAAAAATAATTTGTGAGCATTACTCATTCTTATTATGCAAGTGTGGAAGAACATAAGTTAAGACATGTTCCCTGAAAAGCATGGCTCTTCAAATGCCTTCATATTCTAAATATGCATGTAACATCGTAAAAATCGGGGGCAGGCTTTTTACGCCACGTGTTCATGTAGTCCCATATACATCTTTCTGTGCAAGTGTTTGTAACTTTACCAAGACTTGGCCAAATTTCTTATCATTTTGATGATTCCAGAACCTTGCAATACACACAAATTCTTATATGCTAGATGATCAACCTTTTCTGGTCGGTTCCACACCGTTTCTTTCACAATGCAATCGCATGACCAGAACTCAATTTCATCTTTAATCATGATGGTAATGAAATTAACATTGACTACCAATTAAATGAGGAATTGGGATTACCTGCTACTATTCCTCCAAGTGGTTCTCCGATGCCGAAAAACAAGCAGTTTAAAGAGTAGCCATGCTTGAATCGTTCACGTGGGATGAACTGTTTCACGATGACCACGGTAATGGAAACTCTTGCACCATTCACGAGTCCGCCGATGAAAGCCAGGGTGCAGATAATCTCTAAGTTATGGAACAGTGGATCCAGGCAAAGGGTGAAGGCGCCGACGATTGAACAAATGATAGTCAGTTCAACAGATGTGACCCAGTTGCGGTCTACTAAAAGCCCCTGTACTACACGACCTATACATTGGCCGATGCTGCCGTAGAGAGCCAAGAAGACGGCTTGGGAGAGTGGGAATCCTTTGGAGACACCGTGAGGAATCAGGTAGATCACCCACGCCGTGTTCACAAGACTTATCACCAAGAACCCAGCGTTGAGAACCAAAGTATAAGGTAGCTCGGTCAGGATTGACAGACCGAAGTGCTTCCAGGTTTCGTGAAGACACCCTGTAATGTTGGAGCACAGCTTAGAACATACGTATTGCAGAGATTCCAGACGTACTTGAGTCCTGTCCAAAGAACTTCCAGTCCCTCTGTCCAGTAGATGTTCTGATGGAGATTGTTCTACGTCACTTCCGGAACTTACGTTGTGTTCCTCGTTTAGAGTGACGGCAGAGATATGTTCCTCTGGTTGGCGTCTCACGTCTTGACTGTCTACACCATCCTTTGCAGCTGGTTCTCCCATCCATAACACAAGAATGGAAGTATGCAGACAGATTGCTCCAAGGATGGCTACGGTTCCTCTCCATCCATACGTTCTATGAAGGAACTCGGTAAAGATGGGTAGAACCATCATTCCCACAGCAGTACCTGCATTCACGATTCCGTATGCCAGAGCAAAGCCGTCGACTACTTCCTCACACATGCGTAAGACCATGTATACAAACACGAATGCGTAGCACACACCTGCCAGTAAGAGATGATAAAGAATATTTCCCAAGTGAAAAACGTGCAAGTAACACTTAAAAATCTCTGTTTTGAAAGAAGTCTTCTGACATGTTATTGCATAGTTCTATAGAGGCAGAAGAGTCTTGAGGCGACACATTTAAAACAAAAAATTATTACTCAGACACAAAAAAAAATAGGACGTACATGAATATGTTTTGCACAGAAAAATAACCAAACCTCGTTTTAGCTCAATGAAGTTTTGTATGAATTGGACATTAAACGGAGTGTATCATGGGAAATACTGGTTAACGCCATCTACGTTTTATTTTGGACAACTGCACGTATTAAACGAATGGACTTGATTAACTAGGTCAGCGCGCGCTAGCGTTCGCGAAACAGACCGAAGTTCTCCTCGCGCTTCGATTTCGCGTATGTTGCACGCCCAGTAGGCCCACGGGAAAGACACATAGACATGGGTGTCGATCCTTACGTAATACCTATTCATCAGGGGGGGATGAATGAATAGATCACCCCCCCCCCCCCCTGATGGATAGGTATCAGTTACAGATCGACACCCATGCACATAGACCCCGTTTACAGAGAGAAAAGGGCCGGGCCGCGTCTTATTTTTTCGTACCACGGCGAGCCCGGATTCCTGTTTTATCATGAATATTCATTAGGCAGGGCCGGGGAAAGTCTCGATTCTCTTGAATATTCATGTATGATCGAGGCATGCGCAGCATCGAATATCGTGTGTAACAAGTACGTTGGATTAATGGCAGGCCTATAATATGACATAGAAAAGCAATGTCATGGTCATTTAGATAATACAGTCATAAATGCTGTGTTTAATTACTAGTAAATGCCAAAATGTCAGTATCGGTAGACAAGATATATAGCATATATTTCAAGTAAGAGTCTTGATAGGCAATTTGTGAGTAGCCTAGGCCTACTTTTCTGAGATTAATGGGAGTCTAGTTCTTTTCATGAATTGGTAAATAATCAGTTCTAGGTTTGCTTTTTAAATCAAGCAGAGGTTGCATTATGGTATTGAATATGTGATACAGTATTATAAACTGTATAAAATAGATAACAAGAATAGGCCTACATACAGACATTTATCAAAAATAAAATACTTGTGTATTGCACTTAAATTATTTCTATGATCTATGCTCACTTAACTGCATAAGGAAGAAAAGGAAGAAAGAAAAATGGGATTAGAAAGAAGAATAACAAAGTTAAAAAGTAAAATATATATAAATAATAAATGAATGGAAGAAATAAAGAATACGGAATAGATACCAAGGAAGAAAGAAATAAATTGCAAGAAAATTGAAATGAAAAGAAGACAAAAGAAAAAGGGAAAGGAGCAAGATAATATTGATACCATATCTTCAATCTTGTTTTCTTTTATCTTGCCTCTTATTTTTGTTTAGGCCTAGCTACCATTTTTTCCTTTCCTTTCTCTTTTTCTCTTAAAAGTTCTCTTTGGTTTCTTTCTAAAATAATGAGGGAAGGGGGGGGGGGGGGGGTGGGGGACTCGATGATAATTCATCATTTGAAGGTTTACAATGTGAAGTCCACGAGTTATATGCACCCACTGAAGAAAATCCATGTACAGGGTTGCTGCAGGAACCCCAGCACCCACAGATCCCACGCATGATGAGACAAACTCGAGAGAAAACTACACATTCTTTCACATACATTGAAGAAAAAAAAGAAGAAAAAAAATCCAAGATCGGTTGAACTCTTTTTGACCCCTCCCCAGGACGTCGATCAATTACATGTATGTGCCCCCCCCCCCCCCCCCCCCCAAACTCTGGCTACGGCCCTGGCGATAATTACCCACTATTCAAATCTGACAGGTGCCCCTTTTTCTTCAACAAATGCCCCTTTAACTTCATAATAAGTGCCACTGTTCCATTTTCATAAGTGCCCCTTGTGATATCTGATAAAAGCCCTTTCATTTTTTTTTACTTTGACACGCGTCCCCTTAAACGTTCTAACAAGTGCCCTTTTACCTTTTGATATGTGCCCCTTTCCCTGTTTAATAGGAGCCCCAACCCCAACCCTTTCTCATAAATGCCCCTTTGACACATGCCCCCTTTTCCTTTTTTTATAATTCCCCTTTTCTCTCTTTCTCTGTCTTTCGAAAACTATCTTCTGCAAGGTTTGTTCTCTTGACTGAGCAACCTGTTGCAATTCCTTTCTGTCTCACTTTCAGTCGTACTTGTTGCCACTCATTTGCATTCACTCGTTATCAACTACCATCAACCATTCCATATTCACTCCATTACTGTCCACATTTCAATTTCATTCTCTTCACTCTCCCTTTTTGCAGCCTTTCCAGGAGCTTTGCTAGAAGTAGAACATTTTTGATGTAGAGGCCAGAGAAACCGGAAAGTATGTTAATCATTTTATTCAAATATCTAACTTGAAAAAAAGGAAAGTGAAACATTGTTTAATTACAATATATTGACATAATTTTGTTAAAGAAAAAATTTGAATTTAACACTGGAAATTTGTAATTGGTTTGCCAGCCCCCCCCCCCCAAAAAAAAAACACACTCAAAACACAACAGTGGTACCAGGGTTTTTGTTAGGAGGCCCATGTACTGTATAATTTTTATTATTAAGAATAGTTTTCTCTTTTTTATTAATTTGACATTGGCATACCGTAAATTTCACCAGGAACCCCCCCCCCCCCCTCCCGACACTGCCATTACTTCTACCAACAGTAATGCTATAATTCAAAATTTCACTTTCTAAATCCTTCTAATATAAACATATAATCATATTTGTACAGAGGATAAGATAAGAGGATAGCAAGCCCCCCCCCCCCCCCCACTCCCTGTTTTCTTTAGTTGGGAAGCATCGAAACATGATTCTATGAAAGCTACCAGTTTGGATACGAAAGGCAATGAGGATTAGCAGTTTCCATATTTAATGCATTTAGAGTGTTGTCTTTCAAACCTTCTTACATGCAATACTTGAAGTAGCAATAATTTCATAATCTACAAAACTTCCCATAAAGAAGTCCATAGAGGTAAATGAATTTTAACATGTATAATTATAATCAAAATATCATTGATTAATTCAATCTTTGATATAGACTGATAGACCTTTATCAATCAAATTTGAAGGAGAATCTTTCTGCCCAGTCCTCAGTTTCATCCTATAAGATGGTAGTTGACATTGTTAGAATTTTAATGTTTATTCGTTGAGGATTAGTTATCTTTAATTATTTGAAAGTCGACAAGATGATAAACTTCATTAGCTTTATTGAATGTAGTATTCTACAAACATATAATACAAATAACAAATAAATATCATGTAAATATTCCAGTTTAAACCCATCTCTATTGTCCTCTTTCATTATATGAGGGTGGCATCTTTAAGACGTAGTCTCGTGTAGATATCTTCTGCATCCATCACTAAAGTTGTAGCCTAGTTTTCAGAAAAAAATATAACCCAAGTCTGTTGAATGGAAAAATGAAATAAGATATAAAAAAAAATCAGCAATGACTAATAACATACACCCTGATACCTGCTCAGAAAAAGGAAGGACTGAAATTCACTTGGGGTTCTAGTGGGCAAACCTAAACTATTTTTTGTACAAGACTAGTTTAAATACTGACCGCATCTTAAATTATTACTGATGATCCCATTAAGACGATAGGCCTGCTGGAGCTCGGATCAGACAAGGTATGAAATAAGTAATACAATGTAATACAACTCGTGCTCATACCGGTAATTGAATAATACTCGGTTAAGTATGGGACATAAAATGACCAAACAACTTTGACCAGAGAATGTACTGGAAATAATGCTACTGAAACATACGTAATGTAGACTTATATTTCATCTATATTGACATTTAATTTTTAATCTAAATTACAATTGTGATATTAAGTCAATTATTCTTTTACAAGTCAACTGACAATGAAAAATATCTGTTTCAGATCTATAATTTTCTCCATGACATTTGTTCCACAAAAATTTATTGGGGGTACCTTCATGTATATTAGCACACTTGCTCGTATGAAGTGTAGTAGGCCCGCATCTCTAGATATGATCCCGTCAACATCCGTTCTTTGTTCCTCTCCTGAGTTTGCAAACCAGAATGCCTTCATCATCCACTGTAGAGAGGCATCATCCTACATGAGAGAAAACAAAGTAGGTACATGTACTTCAATTAAAAACTGATACTGATGGATACATATCAACCATAATACATCCTATAAACAGACTTTTATCAATCTTATTTTGTGTTCTTCTTCATCTTCATTGCTCAAGAAGTGAAAGTACCCCTTACAAAAAGAAAATTAGGGGTCCTGTGTATACCCTACATGTAGTGCTTACAATGTGCATTTGATATGGCTCTTCTAAACACAGGACCTCCTGTAAATAAGGACAAATTTTCCTTTGTAAACATAGAAAGAAAAGACATCAATATTTGTATACTAGGTGCAGAACTAGAATAAAATATACCCTCCACTATATATGCTTGCAATGTCAACTTAGTTCCATTTCCTTTTGAGTGAATTAATAGGTGGTCGTTTAGTATGTGTGTGCTAAATAACCTGATAACTGTACCTGCATGGGACTTTCTGCTTCATCTTGCAAATATAAGAGATGTTGTAATGTCCTCCTTCCAGCTCTTCAGTTTCAATCTTTTGGAACAAAAAGAAGAAGAAAATCAATACGACAATCAAGGCATCCCTTTCTCCTTAACAAAATAAAATAGATCTAGCATAATTCAAATTAATAGATATTTTTATGTCATGGTTGGCCTTAATTTTAATATGGTGTGGAAATCAACATTCCTATTTAATGAACCACAGTACAAAGTAAAACTAAATGGAAGATTTAACTTGTGCATCAAACAGTGGTTTCTATGGCCTATGAACACGAAGCAGTACTAAGTAGAATTAGTTTATTATAACAACAAGAGGTGGACTACATACCATATAAGCAGAGGCGGCGCTCCGAGAGGGGGGGGGGGGGCAGAGTGCCCTCCCATTTGGTCAAGTACCCTAAAAGTGCCCCTTTTTGAATAGGAAAAGTGCCCCTTTTTACATAGGAAAGTGCCCCTTTTACTCTGACAAGTGCCCCTATTAAGTTTTTAAAGTGCCCCTTCCCCTTTTAATAACTACCCCTTTTAACTTGGATAAGCGCACCTTATATCTTCACATGTGCTCCCTTTCATTTTTAATAAGTGCCCCTTTTTCTTATAAGTGCCCCCATTTAAAAATAGGCCCTTTCCCTTCTCATAAATGCCCCTTTTCATCTATGAAAATAGTTCCTTTTCATTCTCTTAAGTGCCCCTTTTCATCTCTTGTAAATGACCCTATTCACTTCTGAGAGATACTTGTTTTACTTTGACAAGCACCCCTTCCCCTCCTAGTCAGTACTCTTTTCATCTCTTATAAATGCCCCTTTTATTTTGACACGTCCTCCTTTTCCTTCCTATATAATGCCTTTTTTCCTTATAAGCACCCTTACCCCTTATCATAATTACCGGTACCACTTTTCGTCTTTGATAAGTGCCCCGTTTATTTAAACATGTGCCACTTTTTCTTTTTAATAAGAGCCACTTCCCCTTCTCATTACCCTTTTAACAATGATATGTACCCTATTTCCTTTCTTATAAAGAACCTATCCCTTTTTCATAAATGCCCCTTTTCACTGCTTATAAATGCCCCCTATCAAAATCTGATGGGTGCCTCTTTTCCGTCGACAAATGCCCATGTTCTTATCATCCCTGGTGCATGCCTCTTTGTTTAGGTGTAAGAAGTGCCCCATTTTCACCTCTGATAATTAGCCTTTGTACTTTGACACATGCTTCTTTTCTTTTCTGATAAGTGTCTTAACCCTTTCGATAAGTGTCCCCTTTTCCTCTCATCATTAAACGTGTCCCTAATTTCAAGCGACTAAAAGCAATTTCCCACAAAGCTCGCTCGCTACGCTTGCCCATAGTTATAGATGTTATAATTATGTAACTTATCACAGATCTATTCAGTCTTCCGTTATGAGATTGTGCTTATATAACCCCATCAGGATTGGGTTTTCCTCTTTATAAGATGTAATTTTTCGCACTGCAAGCCAAAAACTGCAAAGTATGATACTTAAGCAATATCTTAAATGCTGTATTAAGAGAAACAAATATTGAAATCATCCCTGATAATGTAATCACAAAATAGGGGTATATACCAATGTCAAAAAAATGGTATATTTTCCCTCTGAAGGTGCCCTTTTTTCAAGAAAGTGCCCTTTTTGTTGGTGCCCCCCCCCCCCACTTTGGAAGTTGCTCCGCCCAAAGGCTCCGCCGCCTCTGCGTATAAGTAAACATAATTGTCGACTACCCTAGGGGTCTTCTCTTATACAACGTCCAACAAAAAATAGATTTATCAAATGAACTGCACACTTTGGAGAAGAAAAAATCTTTAATATAGGTCTAGATCTAGAAAAGTTATGACAACTTGACAAGCACACTGGACACACACAACATCTGAACATTAAATAAATGAATCCTAGGTCTAGTTTGTTTGTTTTTGAATATTTTTATTAATAAGTTCCAGGTTTACGTCTAAATGAAATATGGTTTGGAGCCGTTTGATTATCCATGGTCACAAACAATTTTGGTCTAAAAGTTGACACGCACCAATGATGCAACTGAGCGAACGGATAGCACTTAGTCTTAGTAATACTACTAGTATAGCCAACAGAGTCGACATCTACTAAAGATATAAACAAGAATTAACCCTCTTGGATTATTAAAGAAATCATACTTCATAGATTATTTTAAGGTGTAACGTTAAATCTAGATTTAAATTCAATGGATGATTGGTGAATTAGATTCACGATGACGATCAAATTTGGAATAAAACCTGATCAGAAAGTTTTATCTTGATGCAGATGAGCACCGAAATTCCCCCAACGTGGGCCTGCCGGAACCCCGGGGCTCTAAAGGGTGACATGAAGGCAAACCGCAGTCAAACTACTTCACGACGATGAAAATCAAAGTGCAATTTCAAGAGAAATATTTTCCTAGCCTTTTCCCCACAAATCTGTTGAGAACAGTCTCAAAATGTAAAGAAATTACAGTAGATCACGAATTACAGCTTTTTCAAATTAATGACTAAATTCTCTTAATCTACTGATATTTCAATCAATTACTCACCCATATGCATTCTCCGTGAACTAAATCTTCTCACTTTGTGCGAGTATAGCGCGCGTCGTGCATTCCCACCTCGATATGAATATTTAAGAGAATCGAGACTTTCCCCGACCCTGCCTAATGAATATTCATGATAAAACAGGAATCCGGCCTCGCCGTGGTACGAAAAAATAAGACGCCAGCCGTTCAGTATCGGTATCTGAGGGCCTCTTTGGAAGTGAATTTCAAGCGACCCTTAAAGGGGTCGGAGACTCGTTTCTGGTCAGTCAGAAAATTTCGCCTCAGAACTTCAGGGGGCGTGCCAAGCGCAACTATCAGCGACCAGCCCCATATCGGCAGGACAAGCGGGATTATTCTCGTTTTTCGAGGGATCGCAACAGCGGCCTGTCATGATAATGAATATGTATCAGATTATGCAAATGTGACACCTGTGACCTCAGGAGGTCAGATCGCATGTGCGCGATGTATATGCGATACGCGTGACTTGATACCCAGTGCGGGGAATAAACACCAGACTATGGTTTATGGAATTCAACTACTTTGTTAGTTTGTTTGCACTTAATATGTGACATTGGCGACGAGGATTAATGTTTCTTGGATGTTGAATCTGTGGCTACGAGCTGGAAAAGTTTCAACATGGCATTCGCTGGAGCGGAATTGTTAGCGCTTCGAGGAGTTCCACACTTCGATCCGACGGGTGGTGCAAGTATTGTCAGCGGCAAGTGGAAAGCTTGGCTTGAAGAGTTCGAAGCCTACGCCGATAGTCGCGGCCTGTTTCTGGACGGATGTACGCCGGCCCAGGAGGCGCAACGGAGAGCACTGTTGCTGTACACTGCGGGGCCTGTGGTAAGGGAGACTTTCAAAACACTTCCAAATAAAGGAGAGAGGAATGAGTATCAAAAAGCCACAGATGCCCTAAATGCTCATTATGTTGTCAAACCTAATGCTACGTTTCAAAGACATTTGTTCAGGAAAACAAAGCAGGAAGATGGTGAAACGGTTGCCCAATTTGTTACCAAATTACGACAGGTTGCTATTGGATGCAATTTCGTAGCTGGGGATGTAGAAAACCAAATTCTTGACCAAGTAGTTCAGTACTGCAGAGCTGATAAACTTCGCAGGAGGTTGCTGGAGAAAGGAGGTGAGCTCAAGTTAAATGATGCATTGTCCATGGCTGCTGCTCTAGAAGCTGTTGAAGGTCAATTTAACTCCATGTCATTGAGAGAGAGAGAAAGGCCTAGAGCTGGTCAAGTGAATCAAGTATCATACGAGAATGACAGAAAAAAGAATTTGGAATGCTACCGATGTGGGAACAAAGGACATTTTGGGAAGGATGCATCATGTCCAGCCAAAGGAAAGATCTGTCGGAAATGTGGAGGCCAAAACCACTTTGCGACGATGTGCAAAAGTAAGGCCAAGAGCACAAGTGAGGCGAGAGGAAAATTCAGAGATGGGAAGTCCAGAGATGGAAAGAAGTATAAGAATAGAGTTCGCCAAGTGGAAGGTGAACCCGGACATGATAGTGATGATGACAACAGCCGTGGCCGTGATCAGAGGTACTATCAATTTGCTGTGAATGGTGATCATGAGAAAGTCCCAATAATCATTGGAGGTGTCACAGTCCCAGTGATAGTAGATTCGGGAAGTGATTGCAATGTAATAGATCAGATATTGTGGGAGAAACTGAAGAAGGACAAAATCATCTGCAAATCTACTAAGAGTACCAAGAGGCTTTATCCGTACACATCACAGATACCATTAACAACTGTTGGATGTTTCACAGCCACCGTAGAAGTTGGCAAGATGAAGTCGACTGCAGAGTTTGTTGTCATCAAAGAAAAGGGAGAACCTTTACTGAGCAAACATACGTCTAGAGAGCTGGGAGTGCTCCAGGTGGGAATTGTACATGTAAATGCGGTACAGAGCTATGCAGGTTTAAAGCATGAGTTTGAAGCAGTCTTCAAAGGAGTTGGGAAGTTGAAGGGCCGACAGGTGCGGTTAGCAGTGGATGAAACGGTGAAGCCAGTGGCCCAGCCTGTGCGAAGGACTCCATTTGGACTGAGAAAAAAGGTCGAGATGAAGATTGCGGAATTGATCGATCTCGACATCATTGAGCCAGTTGAACGCTCCACGCCATGGGTAAGCCCAGTTGTCATAGTTCCAAAGAGAAATGATGAAATAAGACTGTGTATCGATATGCGTAGAGTGAACGAAGCAATCATAAGAGAACGTCACCCCATTCCCACTATTGAGGAAGTCCTACAGGAGCTGTCGATTAGCAAGGTCTTTTCGAAAATAGACCTGAAGTGGGGGTACCACCAACTGGAGTTACATCCGGAGTCTAGAGAGGTGACAACCTTTGTCACTCATTGTGGGTTATTCCGCTATAAGAGACTGTTGTTCGGAATCAATGCTGCTCCAGAGATTTATCAATATGAGATACACAGAGTGATAGCTGGGATAGAAGGAGCTGCGAACATATCAGATGACATCATTGTGCATGCATCGACCCAGAAAGAGCATGACAAGAGGTTGAAGCAGGTGCTTGGCAGACTGCGGGACGCAGGACTTACTGCAAATGCAGAAAAGTGTAAGTTTGGTGTCTCTGAGTTGGACTTCATGGGGCACAGACTGACTAGCGAGGGACTCAACCCAGGATTGGCCAAGGTGAAAGCAATTGCAGAGGCCCGTGAACCCCAGAATGCAACTGAGATGAGAAGTTTCTTGGGGCTAGTCAACTACTGCGCAAAGTTCATTCCGAACTTTGCTACATTGGCAGATCCACTGAGAAAGCTGACCAGAAAGGACACGCCATTTCAATTTGGTCATGAACAACAACAAGCGTTTAAGGCGCTGAAGGAAAGCTTAATGAGTGCAGAGACCCTGGGCTACTATGATCTAAATGCACCGACAAAGGTCATAGCGGATGCCAGTCCAGTTGGCTTAGGAGCAGTGCTGGTGCAGGTGCATGCTGATGGCCCGAGGATAGTAGCATATGCCAGCCGCTCGTTAAGTAACGTTGAAAGGAGATACTCTCAGACGGAGAAAGAAGCCCTTGGACTTGTGTGGGCTTGTGAAAGATTCCATGCATACCTGTATGGAATAGAGTTTGATCTAGTGACTGATCACAAACCGCTTGAAGTCATTTATTCACCGAGATCTAAGCCATGTGCGAGAATAGAGCGGTGGGTTCTGAGGCTTCAACAGTACAAGTACAGGGTAGTCCACATCGCAGGAAAGTCCAACATAGCAGATCCATTGTCAAGATTGCTGAAGGATGATCAACCGAGAGAAACTTCTGTGTTGGAAACAGAAGCAGAGAGCTTTGTGCGTTTTGTGGCAGTCCAGTCAACGCCAGGTGCGGTGACAACGAAGGAAGTCGAAAGAGAATCTGAACATGATCCTGAACTCGAAGTTATCAGAGAGTGTATTCACAGTGGACAATGGGATGATTGTCCATATAAAGCATACATTCCCATCAAGGACGAACTCTGTATAATTGGTCAGTGTGTGCTGAGAGGTAGCAGATTGGTGATTCCACAGGCACAGAGGCCAAAGATGGTGTCATTAGCTCACGAAGGACACCTGGGCATTATTGGCACCAAACAGAATTTGAGAACCAAGGTATGGTGGCCAGGATGTGAGAAAGATGCAGAGAAATTCGTCAAGACGTGTCATGGTTGCCAAATCACAAGCAGGGGTAATCCACCAGAACCAATTCGAAGTACTATGTTGCCAACAGGACCTTGGGTGGATGTAGCTGTTGATTTCCTAGGACCACTTCCGACAGGAGAATCTATACTTGTGGTAGTTGATTATTATAGCAGATACTACGAGTATGCAATCATGAAATCAACCACTGCAGAGAAGACAGTCAAAGCCCTGGCTGAGATCTTTGGCAGACATGGGTTACCTGTGACGTTATACTCAGACAATGGACCCCAGTTCATCTCAGAAGTTTTCGCAGAGTACATGAACATTACAGGAATTCACCACCATCGGGTGACTCCTAAATGGCCCCAAGCCAACGGCGAGGTCGAAAGACAGAACCAGAGTATAGTGAAAAGGCTAAGAATTGCACAGGCAGAAGGCAAGGATTGGAAGGAGGCCTTGCTGACTTACGTCGCAGTCTACCGGGCTGCGAATTTTTTTTTCCCAAACAGGTTTACCTATGAGAGTAAAATCCTGCCTCCTGATTGGTTCAGAGGTATACGCGTCATGAATATTCACGAGCTGAGTTCACAGCACTGTGGCTGAGCTGCAGTACCTAGTATATGTATTACGCATGCGCGTGGACTTCAGTTTTGCTGGCCATTTAGGTGTACAAAATGTATGTGAGCTAGCTGTGGTGCGAGGGGATTTTTATTGGGGGAAGGGAGGGGGTCTGTTTGTTTGTGAACATTTCTGGTTATTCTGGTGCTTGGTTTATATAGTTTTACACTGCGGATTTTTTTTCTCAAAGAGCTCACTTACAGTACACACACTAATATTCCAATTTCACACATAGGCTATACATACAAACACTATCTTTCTCTCTCTCTCTCTCTCTCTCTATAAACACAGACCCACCCACCCTCATGTATTTACAAACACATAAGCAACAAATGCACACACTAGCTGTCAAGAATACACAATAGACACACACAAGGGGTATGAATTATCTTATCAGGATGGTCCGACATGAGATGGTTGGATGTGGGTCAAAGCCACTGTGTTGCTCTGAGCATGATATCTTGACAAACATTTAATATTATCACCCGTAACTGAAACCAACACACAATTAATATCACGGTATTAGTCTCTTGTTTGTTCCACCAAGCTAATTTTTGCACCTTGCACAAATGCACTTCTCAACACGAAATATTTCAGTAAATTTGTTTTGTTATTTTCACCCAAAATTAATTCAGCCATGCTCACTTTTAATCACTTCACTTATATCTTATTTAACATTGAATACAATGCAGTTGCATGGGTTGTTCTTTTATTTTGTTAACTCGGCAGAGGCCACGGTCATGTTCAAGCATTTACGCTTACGACATGTGGTCTCCTGCTTTTTCCTTTTGTATGAAACTTTTATTTTAAAGGTATTACAAAGTTTTGGTAAATTTTGAAAATCGGCTGGATACTACGGTACAATTTTGATATATTTGGATGCCCCTAGGGCCCTATGGATG